ACTAGTAGTTTGTCAGTACATAACCAGGCAATGTACTTTTTGAATCATAATTCTTGAACAGTGGTTCTTAATCCTGGCCCTTGGGACCCCCCTTATTTAACACACCTGACTGAGATAATCAGGTCATTAGAAGAGAGCTCCATAAACTGAACTGAATGTGTCAGATAAGGTAGACATACAAAATGTGCAGAGTGGGGGGTCCGCTGGACCAGGATAAACTGAAACATAATGTAATGTTGTTTTTTAAATTAGTTTCCATCAGTTTGAATGATAATACATGTTTAGAACCAGTTAAATTGTAGTTTTATATAATAAATTTTCAAAGAAATCTAAAAAAAATTTTTTTATTGATCATAATATAACATTTCTATTAAGACACACTTATGTAGTGTTGCGGTACGAATAATAGAACAAATGCTTATGTGATGTACTGCATGAATATAAGTAATACAGCACAATTTTATACAACCTAATGCAGCTTGGAATAACCCACAGGCCAATAATTTTTTATTTATTTACTTATTTCTAAAATGTTGTCTTCAGTAACATCACAGTTATTACTGAATATTACTGAAGTTCTGTGAAGTATTTTTTATTTTTTTTGCATTGTATTATTACTAGGCTATATGATAATTTGTACAAGTATTTTACGTAATTAAAATAATTTTGTAGGCTAAAATAACATGCAAGAATAGTGCACCAATCAACATCTGCTTGTTTTTGTAAACCTGAAGCAGTTTTACGTGTTATCAATGCAGTGTATCAGTGATGGACCCTTTTCACAGATTGTGATGTTGCATTTTACAATCAGCATTGTAAATCCTGCATTATTTATTTAAATTACTATGCTCTGTATTGTATTACCATTGACTTACTATAAATAAAAATAAAAATAAAAAACAATGCTGCTGTGAGGGTGTTTCTAATACAAGCAGCTGGGGGAGTGATGGTAAATTTGACATAGTTCTCTCTTCTGACTGCGGTTATCAATTTCTGTCAATTCAATAGTGAAAACACTATTGTAAAGTTTTTCTTTTGCTATTTGAGCAAAAAAAAAAATCTATTTAATGTGGTGGTCCTGTTCACCGCTATAAAAGTTTACCCAACTATGATGACTTCCGCTTCTGAGAAACCCTGAAATGTGAAAAGGTTCCATTACTTGGCTGCAGTTTCAGTTCAACAAAACATAGTTTTAAAAAAAGTTTTAGAGTTTAAAAAGTTAGAAGGCCACGTGAACATTATTTATTTTTCTGTTTTTCTTATTATTTCATCTTTACTGTGTAATTCTATGTATGTCTGCACTATCATGTATGTTTGCACTATGTGTGTACTTCTGCACTGGAAGCTCCTGTCGCCAAGTCAAATTCCTTGTGTGTAAACATGACATTACTTGACTTGACTTAGTATATTATGTGAATAAGGTTAATTAATTTGAAAATTCCACCACTCTGCAAAAACACATCTGTGGTGTCCAACCTTTTATTCTTCACATGTATTTAACATAATTAACAACAGCAATACAAACATTCTAAAGGTTGAAGTGGACTCCAACTTGTTAACTTAAATTATGTTGTTGTCTTTTTCTGAGGTACGTGACTATTCACAAGCTGATTTATTGATGGTATAAATCAGGGGTCGGCAAGCAAGTTTGGCATCGGGCCAAAAAATTTTTTGCTACTAGATGGCAGGCCAGAACATAGTCAAAGGATCATTTAAGAAATTAATTGATGAAAATGCAACTAGAATTGCCTGTGACAGACTGTTACAGTGTCTTTTGTAAGTGGTAGTGAGCTGTTAAATCCTGTAGGAGGACAGTCATTAACAAAAAGCCACATTTGTGTGGTGGTGTCTGGCAGAGTATGTGAGCCGAGTGGAGCGTCAACAATTTCCCCTTCGCGTATTGAGCATTTAATAATCACTCTGCTCCGGGTTCACCATTTCCCGCTCCCGCTCCACTCCTCGCAGAAACACCACTCTGCGGCTAAAGTATTTCAGTATGTTTGAAATATCACAGTTCAAAATAACAGCAGAGTTTCAAAGTGGCTTATTAGAACACTAGTGTTCAAACTTTTGTCCTACCATATGACAAGCTAATAACATGGTTGTCAGCATTAAAAGGTATAATTGCTGCTTTTTGCGGTGCAAATTTTGTTTGTGATGAAAATAACTTTTTGTCAGTTTTACCTACGGATCGATGCATTTCTTACAGATTTCTGCTCATTCGAAATCGGATACAGATATATTTGTTTGAATGCATTATTGAGAGAGCGATTGCATGTGAATAAGTACTTGTACTTAGTACTTGTTTAAATCATGCTTTCAGCTGAAAATGTTCAATATCTAGAAGGAACAAACAAATTCCTTGAGAACTACAACTTCCCACTCATGTCCATTGCTGTCATCATAGCTTCACATTCTTTCTGATTTGAGTGATCCTTCTCTATCAAGCTAGCTAAATATGTTTAACATGTGAATTCTTGCTAAATATGCAAGAATTTACATATTTTCACATTTTCGGGCCGTTGGCATGAATTGTACTCGTGATGGAGCGGTGGTGGAACGCTCTTGGAGTGAGTGAAAACCACGATGCTCCGACTTTTAAAAAATCCGCTCCTTGCTCCAGTCAAAATCACACCGCTCTACTCCATGCTCCGCTCACATACTCTGATTATGAGTAACTGTTGCTGTCATGACAGATCTATTTCAGACCCAGCCACTATCAAAATAATCTGGCTGCGGGCGCGGGCCAGATATTATTGCTGGCGGTCCAGTTTTGGCCCTCGGGCCGCCTGTTGCCGACCACTGGTAAAAATGATTGGAAATAATATTTCATGTCTTCAAGTCCATTCACAATTTGTAGACACAATGTTTTTATTGCTGTTTTAAAAGTTAAATACATGTGAATAATGAAAGTCTAGACGTCATAGATGTTTTTGTGGAGTAGGTAGTGGTAATTGACCTTATTCATGCAATAAACTACTATATTCTAAAAATATTACAACGATTAATCTTCTATTGCTGCGACTTTACTCAAAATACTACAACTTTATTCTCAAAATATTACAACTTTAATCTTGTATTGCTACAACTTATTCTCATAATTTTGACTTTATTCTTAAAATATGACTTTAATTGGTAACACTTCATAATAACTTTCATTAACAAATCATCAACAAACATTATATAATGCTTAATGGATCATTAGTTAAAGGGGTCATATGATGTTGCTAAAAAGAACATTATTTTGTGAAATGATTAAAAGCTTGTGTTAATGCGCAACACATTAGCTGCTATTGAGGTGTGAGGTGTTTGGTGGTATGGGTAGGTTTAAGGGTAGGTTAAATGGTCAACAGTGTACAGGGGTCAATTTGATTATTATAAGGGAACACGGTTCAATCTGTTTATATTATATTGTTTTGATAAATGAACAAGTATTTTCTTTAAAAAAAATATTTTCCCCTGTTTATTTATAATTCAAGGAATAGCTATCCTGTTTAATGATATACTGAAGAGTAGTATACTAATGTGAGTATTGAGGCAATAAAAAACTTTTTTGCACCAAAATTACAATTATGTTATGTCTTTAGCAAGCATTTAGCTAAACATAACCAGCCACCCTTTACACAAACCTTGTTACATAAGTCCAAGGCCCATAAAGATACTAAATGATTAGTAATCATTTATAAACATTTACAAATAATGAATAGTTTCAACTTTAGATTGGCTACTGCAAAAATATGAACAAATGATTAATAAATGATTAGTAAAGATGTGTGAAAAGGGTAAATTTGGGTCTTTCGGGACACTTTTTGCCATTGAGATGACTGTTCATAAAGGTATTAATGATTAGTAAACATTTATAAACATTTGCAAATGATGAATAGTTTCCACTTTAGATTGTGTACTGCAAAAACATGAATACATAATTAATAGATTATTTAAGATGTGTAAATAGAGGTCTACACAACAAAGACCAACAAATTTGTAAGCATTTCAATTTACATTAAATAATCATGTTAATCATTAGGTAATGTTTAGTAAGTTCATTAGTAAACATTAACAAGAACATTATCTCATGTGACCCTGGACCAAGGGACATATTACTGTGAGCAGGGACACCGGCAAGACACATAAGTATCGCTTCTGATTCATTCTCTTTCCTACTACTTGTTTCCCTTCTGTTTTTATAACCAATTCTTACTATGTGTTTCCAGATCCCTACTATCACTACCACTCCCCCCTCTTTTGTCCTTCTCCTCCCCCTCCTTCATCAACTCTAACAGCTGACGACTTTGCCACATTCTTCAGTAATAAAATTACAAATCTGAGTGCACAATTTGCCACACCACAAACTCTCAAACACATCTTACCAGCAAATATACACTAATTTTCATCCTTCTCTCCACTCTCTGAGGCAGAAGTGTCTAAACTTACCCTTTCCAATCATCCTACTACTTGTCCGCTTGATCCTATTCCATCTCATCTCCTTCAAGCCATTTCTCCTGCCGTTGTACCTGCACTCACTCACATCATTAACACATCCCTTCACACTGGTGTTTTTCCCTCAGCATTTAAACAGGCTTGTATAACCCCACTTCTTAAGAAACCCACTCTTAACCCAACTCTTTTAGAGAACTAAAGACCGGTTTCCCTTCTACCTTTCAATATCCTAATGATTTTTGGCATAAAAGAAAAATCTATAATTTTGACCCATACAATGTATTTTTGGCTATTGCTACATATATACCCCAGCGACTTAATACTGGTTTTGTGGTCCAGGGTCACATTTCAATTGTATCACCTAATTACACACATGAGCCATTGATTGCTGCTTACGGCTATATTTACAATAATAATAATAATAATAATAATTATTATTATTATTAGCACTGATTTTTTTTTTTTAATCTTGGTCTTTTTTTTTTTTTACATTTTAATGGTGTGATGCTGATTCTGTTGTGGTTGATCTTGTGTACATTTAACTCTTTTTACTCTGTTAGGGTGCACAGCATTATGGCCAGTGCAAGAACACAGAGAGTTTTGCCCCAACAGCACCTGTTCTGCTACAGGTGAGATTGTGTATGTTTTTCTGTATCTATCATGATAACTAAATGCATTTTGTCATACACATGTAGTTTAAGTAAAGGCAGGATTTTATGGTATTTCTTATAAATGCATTGCTTTAGAAATTGCAGTAATATATTCTTCACTGTAATAATGGTATTATTGATCCCAGCATTACCCTCTGTATAGAGTGAGTGATGCTATGTGTACAGGTGTAGATGCAACCCCACTGGATGATCGGTACCAGCTATTTCAGGAGCGTTATGATGTTTTATCTAAGAATGCCTCCAAAAAGGTAAAACAAGATGCTTAATAAACACAAGCAATGTTACTTTTAAAAATAATGTGCTACATTATGATGTTACACCTGAATACACTACACAATGAATCAATTTACTGTACTCGGTCACAATGAGAAGATTTGCGAGTGTTTAGAACTTAGTCAGTGAGCCGGATATGGTGACATGTTGATGTTGGATTAGCTACTGGATGGATTAGCTACTCTTAATCAATGGGCACTGTACACTCAGCCTCAGATGGCATGTCCATTGACCATCTGATGCATATTTCCTACACAAAAATCTTTTCAAAATCAAATGCTTTATCTGATTGTTTGACATACAATTTATGGGAGTCAGGGTGCACAGGTTTATATCAGTCCATGTGGAAACCAATGAACTGATCATTGCATTTGACAAAGTTTGTGAGGTTCATTGCATCAACTCTTTAAAAAAAGATTAAGATTTCTGTTGATTTGAGGGACTTAGTATTGAGTACACTCTACATCAACAAGCTCTTGACCAGAGTAGGCCAAGATCATTACATATATGAACATTAAAAGCCGACAATCTTCTCCAATAACAGCTCTTGTGGTGGTTCAAGCCCCGCCTAATCCTGAGTGGCCACACTCACCATGGCTGTGAGGTACTGCATGAAAACCTCTATCCTGAGATCAGTGTCCCGTCCTTCAGCTGGAGAAACCGCAACAACCCCAGCTTCATCCTGGTAATTAAAGCCTGAGTTTTGTTTACCCCCGTGTTGTTTCAGAGCTGTATGTCTTACTTTCTTCCATGGAACGCAAGCGGAGGAGTTTTGTAAAATGATTGCATTGCACTTTTTTCATATAATGACCAGAGGCTTTCGAGCTCCAAGAAAGACAAAAAACAATTAAAGTATCAAAGAAGAAGTCCATATGACTTGTATGGTAGCAGCCAATAAACATCAATAATTAATCGGTCATTCAATTAATCCAGACATGACCATATCAAGACCCAAAGTATTGATGCAAATCCGAAATTAGTTTCTTTTTGAGTCCTCGGTAACTCTCTGCAAACTTCGACAGTTAGTTGAAATGGCTCATTCGATTCTTTTTGAGTTGGACATGCTACTTTGGCTGTGCGTCTTACGTCATCAACCCAGAACTAAAGTTCGATTCAGTTCGATTTTGTGAACCGGCTCGAACGGTTACGTCCTGAGAACCGGCTCAAAAGAACGATTCGTTCAAAAATCGAACATCACTAACCCAAAGTAGTGTAAAGTTCCACCCTGCTAAATGCATTAAACAAACAGACATTTGTATTATTCACAAGATACACCTAGGGAGTATTCCAGAAAGCATTAAACCCTATGAAACATTAAATCAACCATTACTTCCATTTACATGGTTTGGAATTAGTTCAGTTAACTCAGTTCTGTTTATGCATGTCCATAGTGAAAAACATTCTCAACAGAGTCATCAATGAAATAGATGTGCAAAGTGTGAATTTACTTAAGTGATGCAGAACTTGACTGTGAACAAGAAGGTTTAATGATTATGTTTGCACACATTTGTAATAAGATGAGCCATAGAAAACTTTGTTGCCAAAAAAAAGGAAAGAAAGAAAAGAAAATACCCTTTGAGGAAATGTTGGGTTTTGTTGTCCTGTCCACTGGATGCTATTTGCAAGGGAATGCTAAATATTGTAGCAAATCCAGAAATGTAATAAATTTGAATGATTTGAAATGATTTTTCAAATGATTATTTGTTCTTTCTTGTGGGTAAAGCTTTTTTTCCCTCAGATATATTGATCTCTTTTTTAATGTTGCACAAAACATTTAAAATATGTAAAAGGAGTTTCTGCAGTGACAGTTTGACATTATACTCCCCAATCTCAAGCATTATTGTTGGGTAGCAAATACACCAAATGTATTAAATTACTTCAGACTTGAAAGGATAATATTTACATTTACATTTAGTCATTTAGCAGAAACTTTTATCCAAAGCGACTTACAAATGAGGACAATAGAAGCAATAAAAAAACCAACAAAAGAACAATAATATGGGACAAGTGTGTGACAAGACTCGGTTCTAACACAGCACACAAAGCAAGTTTTTTTTTATTTATTTATTTTTTATAAGAAATAAGTTTTTAGCCTGGACAGAACAAGAGCTTGAACAAGTTGTCATCTAGCATGTTCTAAAAGAAAGGGTCTGATCTTCCTAATGTTGTATAAAGCAAAGCTGCAGGACTGGGCAGTTTTAGCAGTGTGGTTGTGAAATTGAATTAATCATCAATCACAACTCCAAGGTTCCTGGCTGTCCTTGAAGGAGTTATGGTTGATGCGCCTAGCTGGATGGTGAAATTGTGATGAAGTGATGGGTTTACTGAAACCACAAGCAGTTCTGTCTTGGCAAGGTTGAGTTGAAGGTGATGGTCACAGCATAGCAAAGCCATGTTTCTGAATGACAGTACCTAGTGATGCCATGTAGACAGAAAAGAGAATTGGTCCAAGGACTGAGCCACGAGGCACCCCAGTAGCTAGATCTTGTGACTTGGATACCTCACCCCTCCAAGATACCTTGAAGGACATATCTGAGAGGTAAGACTTGAACCACTGGAAGTGCAGTTCCTTAGATGCCCTTTGCCTATAGAGTTGACAGGAGGATCTGGCAGTTAACCTTTGCCTATAGAGTTGACAGGAGGATCTGGCAGTTAACCATGTCAAGTAGTAGGCTGATTGGAAAGGATGAGTTTGGAGACTTCTGCCTCAGAGAGTGGAGAGAAGGACGTGAGTGTATGTTTGCTGTTGTGCACTGATGGTTGTAATTTTATTAATGAATAATGTGGCAAAGTCGTCAGCTGTTGAGTTGATGAAGGAGAGGAAGACAAAGGAGGGAGGAAAATGTTTTAAAGAGCATGAGAGAGTTAGATGAATTGTTAATTTTGTTGTGGTATAGAGTAAATCCAAGGCTAATTGTTGTTCTTCATTACCCCTTTCTGCCTTTATCAAAAATGCTTTTATCATTTTCACAATATACCCAATGTCCAATTGTGGCAAATGCTTTTAAGATTCAGTTTTAGTTTAGAGAATGTTTTGATTATTCTGTATGTAGTTCTATATGCAACAATCATTTTCACAATATACCCAATGTCCAATTGTGGCAAATGCTTTTAAGATTCAGTTTTAGTTTAGAGAATGTTTTGATTATTCTGTATGTAGTTCTATATGCAACAATCATTTTCACAATATACCCAATGTCCAATTGTGGCAAATGCTTTTAAGATTCAGTTTTAGTTTAGAGAATGTTTTGATTATTCTATATGTAGTTCTATATGCAACAATAATTTTTTTTTTCATTTCAGCTCAATTAGATCCAGATTTCACAGAATGGTGCAGATTAGGTTTTCTCGGGTTTAGAAATGTATTTACAGGACATTTCATACAATGGCTACACTTTCCACAAAATTATTAAGTTAACTTCATTGACATGAAGAGTTGAATAAGTGAAATATAATGTTAACTAATCCTTCATTCAGCTGCTTTATTAAATTAAAACAGTTTAAGTTTCATGAAATGAACAGTCATTGTGTTTAACTAACGTATGAAAGATTATAAGACCATATTCACACCAAACCTTAGAGGAGGTTGTAAAATAAGATGTCAACTCTATAAGCTGAAAGGGAAAAAAAAACTTTAGTCAAAAGTATAAGGAACTTTTAAAATTTATTTAATATTAATGTTGTTGTATATTCTGTCACTTCCTGTAGGGCACATTCTCCAGGTCTGACTTCCGGTTGTCAAAGTGTTTTTTGCCGGAGGAGAGGAGCGTGTTAGCACTTTACTGCAGCAGCTGTCTGATCATTGCACTGATAACACTCAGCCAAATGAAGATGTTCAGAAGATCACTGCATATGCTAAATAGCCTTCTAAGAAAGCACAAGACTTTGTAACATGCACGAAAGGCATGTGAGAGTTATGTTTGTATAACAATGTAACCAAATGATAACAATGTATCATTGTTAATGATAACAAAAGTTTAACAGGAAGCCCTGAGTTCAAGTGCACAGAAACAAGAAAATGTTGAAAATCAATGATTTTACTGGTTTGGATGTTCTCAGTGTCTTCGTTTTCTGGTTTAAAATGCTGAATAAATTATTTTGATGTACAACAGATTGGTCCAAACAGGTCATAATTTCAAAACTCTTAACATAGTCAGTGAAACAGAAGTATGTGTGGACAAAACTGTGAATAATTTTAAATGACTTTTGGGAGATAGGCATTTTATGTAAAAGCAAACTCTTTTTTTACTCTTTTGTCTTTCATACTTAACCTGCAAAAGGTTTCTATATTTGCAGCACATTTTTGTTTGAAAATGTAGGTCAAGCAAAACAGCAATTGGTGGGCAAGTGAGCACCAGAACCCTCAGAGTACAGTACATACAGTATGAGCAGTTACACTTTACATGTTGTTTATATTTAATTATTTCATTATATTTGCAGCCCTGGAATTTCAGCTTTTATTTTGCAACCAAATTGTTTGTTACATATGCTTAATAAAGTGAAAAAGATTTCTGTAAAAACTCATTTAAACTCAAACCACCATTACATACCAAACTTTTATTTTTTGAGTTTTGGAAGTGAGATTAACTGTTTGGTTAAGATTTATGTTGGTATTGCAGACTGGAAGAAGAGTTTTGAAAAAGTGGTTCAGTATTCGCAAATGAAAAAAAAAAAAAAAGAAATTTGGAAATAAGAAATTTTAGCAGCAACCCACTTTTCAAGTTGTGATTATAAAACATAACTCTAAGGCAAACTCACATTTTTTTAGAGGTATTTTATTTGCAAAATTACATTTCTTCCCACATTGCCATTCTAAACATAGACCAAGGTCTTCTAATGTGCCTCATTATTAAAATAAATGTTACAAAACGAGAAAGAAACAATAAATTATTTTTCTTCATTGTCACTTGTATTTTTAGTTTCTGAAGTAAGTTTGACCATGAACCATAAAAGCTGCAGAGGATAGTAAGGAGAATAAAGCCTTTCTACCAGTGTTACAGCCACTCACAGCCTAAGTCACATCACACACTGTCCCTGCACTTCACCAGTTGAGAAGTAGAGTAGAGTCAGGGATCCAAAACAGTTAACAGTTTATGTGGCATTGTGCATGGACTTAAGTGTGTATGTATTAAATTTAAGTCAGCCACTCATGTATTAAAGGATTATTTCTCCTGAAAATTTTATTTACTCAAACTCAAGCTGTTAGAATCTGCATGCGGTTTATCTTTTGAACACACAAATGATTTTTCATGAAGTTATTTCTGTACAAACGCTTAAAAAAAACCCATTGCATTGCACTATTCCTTTGACTTATGATAACTGCCCCACTGGTGAGTGAGAGAGACATATGGACACACTTGAGCTGTGAGACACACTATTAGTGCTCACATTCACAATGCCAGCGCAGTCAGTACACGCTCAGGACGGCCAGACTAGTGATTTTATATATATATATATATATATATATATATATCACTAGTCTTACTTCCTCATTCCTTCAATATTATGCATTTGTATATGCATAGCTATGCATACAACCTTGCTAAACATTCATAAATATGTATACATTTAGGCACACATATTATTATGAATAATTGTACATACATATTTATAGAATATGTATTTTCATGTTTTTATAAATGTATATGTACACATAGAATGCACATGTACAGTACAGCTTGGCATATCTGCAAATGTATGCACACACGCATACAATCTCACATATCTACACACTTTCACCAGCACGACCCCGCGTACAGTCTGCATATATGCCACTTCTAAAAATGCACCCTACCTGAAACAACAGAACGTCAAAATTTTGGATATCTTTCCAAAGTTTTTTGAAGCTGAGTCCGTCCGACAAAAACAGAAATTCAAAGAACTGTAAGACATACTGTATTTGCAGTTTCTAAACAAAGTGGTTAATTTTGCATATTGTATACCAAGATTTTTTGCCTAATTTTTCTTAATTTTATAGTAAAAGACATTTTAAATAGCTTTATAAACCAGAAAAAAAAAATCAGTCTACAGAGCGATTTCCCATCAGCAAGCTGTGCTGCATGTAAGATTTGACATCAAGCTGTACACCGCTGTCCAATCACAAATAATTTATCTTCATTTTGAGGTACAGCCATATTCAAAGGCACAAAGAGCTTCTACAAGTCAAAGTTTTGTCTTTCTTGTTGAAGTTATACAAAATAACATTTTGCAGTCCTGTACAAGATCGAGCGACCTTGCACATTCTTTAGAATAACAAAACAAAACCCTTAAAAATATATTGTGTTCTTCTTTATATCAATATTTAGAACTACCTCCCAAATAAGGCCTGCCCATACTAAAGGAGGCATCGGTTGGCGGTGACGGTTCTCCAAAGATGGATTGCCGATGGCGCCCACTGAGGAAAAAAATGCAGAGTATGACAAATCCCACAAGGCCCTGCTCCTGCTCTGTGCTCTGTAGTTGGTTACAAACTCCTATCTAGCCCTGAAGTCCTTTCTGCATGCTTTGCAGAAAAAAAGCAAAAAGGCAATTTAAAAACTAAACTAAAACAGTGAAAAAAAAATAAAAAAAATGGATAAATACAGAGGTGCTACATTGTGAATTTTGCATCCTGGCTTTCATTTAGGAAACAACTGATGCAAAGTGCTTCATTAAACCCTTCATGTACCCCTTCACTCCTATGTCAAGTACTCCAATGTCCCCTTCATTAGATGCAGGGGAAAGGTCAAAGGTCAGACCATCCTTACACAGGTCACAGGTTACCATTATGCCCGCTGGTCTAACCACATCTAATCTTCTAATCTAACCTCATCTAAAGCCAGCCAATGCTGAAATACAACAAAAAAATATATAAAGAAAGAAATGACCTGGGAGTGGTACAAAGTAAAATAGAAATAATTTCATCTTATAAACACACATCATTTCCCCTCTCACTTCAGAAATATATATATATATATATATATATATATATTAAAAAGGAAAGCAAACAAGTGAAAAGCAGAAAAAAACCCCCACAACATTGTCACTCTTCAGTAGTTCTTAAAGACCCCACCATGTGATGTGGGACTGGATAATTGTTGATTGGAGGAGCGACCGATCCAGGCAGCCAATCACAAGAGTTCATATTGGCGGAGGTGCATCCTCTGAATAATGTCACGACAGTCATTGAATACACGACGGATGTTTTCTGTGTCCACGGCACAGGTGAAGTGAGGATAGCAGTAGTGTTTGTCTGTGCCGCTTGCTGTGCTGATTTTCTGTGGGTTCATGCAAACACACAAACACACACACAAACAGTCCAAGCAGTTACAACATTATACCAACAACAAGAATAACAAATTTATAGCTGACGTGCAAAACTGATTAAAAATAGTGAAAAACTTTACAGAAATGGTGACTAGTTAGAGGTCCCAAGATGTAGGTGACTTTTTTTCTTCAGTAGAACATTAAATAAGATTTTTACCTGAAATCATGGTCCTTGGTGATTCATAAAATGCAAGTCAATGGCTATCATCACTTTGAGAGCCAAAAAAGCACACAATTAATACCCAAGGCTCCTGACGATATACTGAGGTCTTACAAAGCGAAACAATTGGTCTGTGCAAGAAACAATTGGTCTGTGCAAGAAACTGAGCATTATTTATACCTGTAATGCAGTGTTAATTTTGTCAGCCATTTTTAATTTAGTCTTAGTCTTTTAAATAAGTCTTAGTCCTGTGTCAAATGTGTCAAACTACTTTTTAGTTATACTTTTTAGTCAACCTTGTCCTGTTTTTGTTTAGTCAAGTTTTAGTCGACTAAATGTCTGAGCATTTTAGTCTAGTTATAGTCAATGAAAACTTTCACAAACTTTTCACTTTCACAACTGTCACATTTTCATCATGCTGTATAATGGTTAAACTATAATTTTGAGCAAAAATATATATTTTATTAATCGCAATGATTGTTGTCATTTGAGAAATTTATTTTTACCTTTCAGGTATTGCACTTTCACCAATAAGCACAAGTCAATAGAATGTGGACTCATAGCCTACACATGGTTTATTTTACCTCATCTAGTGTACTGATAGGCTATTTAATATATAAATTAATATCAAAGACTTAGATATGCACTCTCTCTGTCTATATTATGAAAACTGGTGAAAACAAACAAAATTACAACCAGGGGTGCATGTAAGTTTTTCAGTCTGGTTCTCATCAGAGCACCTGGAGATTTGGTTTGGTGCTCACACTGCACATATAGTGTGACCTATTAAATATAACTATAAAAATAAATTATAGTAATAAGAATATTATTGCACTTTACTCAGTTTTTTTTAAATCAAATAAACAAAATAATAAAGTGTGATAATACTATTGTATATTAAAATAAAAAGTGAGTATTAAATAAAAATACAATTATTTTATAGTACACCTAAAAATACAACGCTTAATTTTACATATTTTTTTTCCCTTTTTACTGTTTGATTTCTTTATATGAATTTTCATCATTTTCAAACCTAAAATCAGCACGCTTTTATTTTGGTGGGTTGCCCTGCTATTGTGCCCAAATTCAACCCCCTGCCAAATTATTCCCCCCTTGTTGAAGTTGCTACCTAATTGCCTAATCTTAAATCCTCCCACCCAATACTAGGGGGTGTAATAATCTGGCGGGGGGGGGGGGCAGAATTTAGCACAACACCGGCAAGTAAGTACATGCGCTGTTGAGTGAAGCGCGTTTGCGGGCTTTGCAGTGAATGAAATGTCAGTTTAGCATTTTGCTGTGAAACCGGCGGCAGCCTAGGTTTATGCTTTCAGTTTGAAATGAAATCGTATACAAGATTACAGTTAGTCGATCTAAATCAGAGATTGTGTATTAACAGCTGTCAGCCATGTCAGTACGCCAGTGAGCTGTCTGAACTTATTTCCACAGTGCATTTTTTATTTTGGTCGTTCATGCACACCCGCGTACCACTTAATGTGCACCCCTGTTATAACAGTGAAATTCCTGATAGTAATTCCAATAATTCCAAATTGCAACAAAGTTTCTCTATTAAAACAACAGCGGTTGAGTAAGTGCATTTATTCAGCAACCACAATCGCAATCAAAATAGTCGAGATCTCATTGTTTTTTCTAATACAGTAGGTTTAACAGGTATACATTTATTTAACATCTTTTGTTGGTTGATTAGCAGATTAATGAGAAAGACAGGTATTTAATTAGGCTGCTGTCCCTTTAAGACCGAATGAATGTAATATACTGACGCATATATCCGGTTTTCACCCACCTGATTACGTTCACTTAAGCCATAACAGACTGCATTTACGTGAGATACTCCACATGATGGAGTATCCACAGCTGTGTGTGTATTTGACAATAAAGGTGCAAGGCGCAAGGAGAACTGATCGCAGAAGTAAGTGCATTTATTCAGCAACCACAATCGCAATCAAAATAGTCGAGATCTCATGACAGAACACAGACTGATTGAATGACACTTTCATTTAAGCAAAACATCTCACATGGAGATTGCTAAACTCCAGCTTACTTGTTTGTCTGTGTTTTCAGATAATCATCGGAGCTTTCATGATAGGGTGGCCAGATTTCTCATGGTTCAATGCGGGACGAGACGGGACGGGGGGTGATATATGACCACGATATGAGAATTTTTTTTTCGTGATATCTAAATTATATATAATTATATATATATATATATATATATATATATATATATACAGTATATACACACAAACACACCACATGCACATAATTATTTATTATATAAAAATAAAGAAGCAAATTACAAACCATAAGACAAATACAATAGATACAAATTAAATATTAAATTAACTTGTTTTTTCTAATACAGTAGGTTTAACAGGTATACATTTATTTAACATCTTTTGTTGGTTGATTAGCAGATTAATGAGAAAGACAGGTATTTAATTAGGCTGCTGTCCCTTTAAGACCGAATGAATGTAATATACTGACGCATATATCCGGTTTTCACCCACCTGATTACGTTCACTTAAGCCATAACAGACTGCATTTACGTGAGATACTCCACATGATGGAGTATCCACAGCTGTGTGTGTATTTGACAATAAAGGTGCAAGGCGCAAGGAGAACTGATCGCAGAACTGGGATCGCGCAGGCGCCCGCACTTCTGTGTGTCATTCAGTGTGATTCCGCTTATCTATCCCACCTTCACTTACTGCAATCGATAAATTGTGATTGGATGGTAATTTTGTTCTACGACAAGCTTAGTTACCTTGGATTAGGCTGTTCTCGCGTGACAGAACACTTCTACTATTGCTCTGATCACCCAGTCGTAAAGAAATTTGGAAATACGGGACAAAACATGATTTTTTCAAAATAACTAAAAATAGAGCTGAAATACGGGACATCTGGTCACCCTATTTCATGATGAAGAGCGAGCACATGGTTGCCAAATTGGGGATTTGAACTCTTGATATCTGGTAACCACACACAAAATCTTGCGTAGTAGAGGGATGTACAGCAGTCTGCAATATTTTGTCTCCTTTTTTTCTCTCTTTCTTGATGAAAATAAAAAGAGATTTTGGTATAGTTTTTATTTTTCAAAATACATTTTAGTCTCGTTTTTTATCGTCAACGTTATTGCATGTTGATATAGTCACAGTTATCGTTTATTGACCTTATTGCCGTCTTGTCATCTTCTCATTTTAATCATGGAAATAAAGCTTGTCAAAGACATTCACTGTAATGCATAGCAACAAACAATGAAGTCTGATTCTTTTCATGTCTGATTCTTTTCCACCAACTGAATTAGTTAGCAAAAACCGGCATCATATTGATTATATTTGCCAGTACACTGGATCAGTCGCAGTCTGATTTAGTGCACTGGTTTATCGACTTCACTAAAAAGAACAGGTTCAAAAGAATTAGTAGTTCTGGAAATTGAACTGGAAATCACTCCAGTTTGCCTGAGGCTATGGTTTACAGGTAATAATGTTGTAAATAATGTTCAGTTTCTTGCACAGACAGATTATTTTATTTTACAATACCTCAACATATTCATCAGGAGCCACAGGTATTAATTTTGTGTTCCTTGATATGCCTATATTCCCTGATTTTTTTTTTTTTTAACTGTTCTACAGAAGAAAAAAGTCACCTTGGATGGCCTGAGGGTGAGTAAACTAAGAGTAAATTTATTTTTGGATGAACTATACCTTTAATATTATAGAAGAAATAAAGAAAATAAAGAGACTATTAAAAAAAGTATTTATACCAAGAATTCATCTCGGATAAAAAACTTTGCCCTGGACACTTTTGGGTCTTCTCCGGGATCAGGGGTCGCTGTGCACATAAAAACAGATATTATATAGACATTATGCCATATAATCAATTTTAAAAATGGAAGTGGGCATTTTAAAGGATGGCTGAGTAGGCCAAGTCTTGAATGAAATGATAAAACAATAATATCCACCTTATTTTACAAAGGGTTTTTACACAATTTGCACAAGTCAATTTCAAGCACTTTCAACCATTTTCAAGGTGCAATTTCAAGGTTTTGGAGCACACTTTTAGACTAAAAGCCCTAAGGGACGATGGTAAGTAAAACATTTGTTTGTTTTTTTCCTCAATGGGTGCAGGCTCTTTCCATAATATGGACTTTTTGATTTTGCAATTCTTTGACACAAATTAAGAAATTACTGTCACTACAAGATTTTTATTGTAAAACAGAAGTAAAAAAACTTCAGCAGTCCAACTATCAAAATCTGCGTGGCAAAGCTGTGCAATGCACTGGACATTGTAGTGAGGCAAAAAAAAAAAAAAAAATTAAGTTAATTTCATTAAATGTAAAATGTATAAATTGGTTAATTTTTGGTTTATGACTTATTTGGTGCGTTTTTATTCGTCATCTAAAGTTCCAAAACAAAGTCACAGAATCATTGCGATTTTCTCTTCTCTAAACACCACACACATTGTTTTTGAATGAATTGATTGAGTGAATGATTCAATGATCAATTAATACAGACAGCCACTTGTGTTGCTCCTCAATGAATCAGCATTTTGAACGAATCTGTTTAATGGATGGCTCAATGACTCATTCAACAAAATAATGACTTTCCACCACCTACCAAAGGTATTAATTCTTTACTTCATTTCATATTTCTATATTCAAAATGTTATGTTTAAAATGGGATTTCACCCTTTTTTGCACCCTTTTTGTGGATCACACACTTATTAAATTAGGTATATACCATTAATCTTAAAAAAATTTTTTTTCATCATTTGTTAGCAAAACTATTAGATTGAAGGCTGATTCTCCCAAAACTGTATTTTCTGCAAGCTTTTTTCAAGGTAATTTTAAATGTCTTTCCAAAAAAAAAAAAAAAAAAAACACGAGACTCCAAAAGG